TGCAAAATGCAAATTATATTTCTTTGAGAGACATCTCTTAGAAGGTAGAGCAATAATGCAGCAAAAGAAATTATGACAAACTTGGTGGAAATCAGTACATCAGGATTTGTTCAAAATGAGAAATAACAGGACATGTCAGCAAGGTGAGATAAAACAAAAATCTCACTCACATCTGTCAAGATGAATTTAAGGGAAAGACATTTGTAAGGAGAGCTTCACTTTTAGAATTCCAGTTAAAGTGCATAAGCATCTCTTGGATATCTAGAAGAGCACAAATTTATGACTGTATTACACAGGAGAAATAGATCAGTTGACACAAGATGATACGGGCAACCAGCATAGACATACTGTGAGGACACCTTGTGAAAATGCAATACTGATGGTTTCATAATAAATAAGTCAAGCAAGAAGGCAGAGGTAGAATTCCATTGTGTTCAAATAATATAGTATGTAGTTGTAAGAGGTATTAATGCAATGGCAACTAAACAAATAAAAAGGAAAATCATGGTAAAACAGAAACCATATGACATTTTCTATGGGTATATCTGAAATTTATTGCGAACAATAATAAAATGGCAACTATATATAGGGATTTAGAAAAAAATGAAAATAGATGAAATTTACAAATGAACATAAGTAAAGGAAATACCACAAGATATTCTCAGAATAAGGATACAGAAAAATTGCTGGATGTAGAAGTATGCTTTTTGAGATGATAAATCAAATATATATTCAAAGTCCCATAGAGTTCCAAAAGAGACAAGTATAGGTTATGTGAAAGGTAATGATGTATACTAACCCCAGAAAGCTCTCAGAAATCAGGAAAGGAAAGCTACCAGAAGAACCAAAGAAGGTTCAGCATGGTAGACTGGTGGCTGAATTCCTTACCTTACAAGTGTCAGGAACCCAGTTGGGCAGCTGTTTGTGTCCAGGCAGCCAGGCTTCCCATACAGCTCCTGCTTGGAAAAGCAGTCGAGGAAGGTCTCAAGCCTTGGGACACTGCACATGCCTCGGAGACCCAGAAGAAGCTCCTGGCTTCAGATCCACTCAGCTCTGGCCATTGTGGTCACTTGCAGAGTATCAGCACAATGAAGATCTTCCTCTTCATCTCTTCTCCTCTCTAGACATATGACATTCCAACAAAAACAAATAAATGAATGTTTGCCAAGCCAAAGCTGGTTTTACTATGCTACATAAAATTGAACTGGTGAAAGTTAGTTCTGATCACTTGGCAACTGCGACCCACCAACATCTAGCACTACAGTGTTGCATCATTTAAGGCTAAGGTGTTGGTAGGAGTTCTCCATGATGTGATCTGGCTGAGCTTCAGGAAGGAACTCTTTCACTGCTTAGTCCTTTTCTGCACAGAAAATCATCTTTGCTTCATATGATGAATTAGGACATCCCTGATAATGTAAGGAAGTACCTGAGGCAGAGCATTTGATAATGAACAGAGGATTGCTTACCTTGTAGTTCAGGATGCTCAAATGTGTGCCTCTGGCATTGGCTCCGCTTGGGGCAGGCCCCAGTGACTATGTCATGAGGTGGAGGGTGACGTGTAGGACCTTGTGATACAGAGAAAGACCACATGACAACATATGAAGCTATTGCACAACTTTGGTTCCAGAAAAATTGGAACTATCCATTCAGAAGGCAGTGGTTTCTATGCCTTGAATGCTCCGCACAAGGACCCACTTCTTAGAGGTCCACTACCTCTTCATGTTGGCACACAGAGGCTCAGTAGTCCAGCACATCAATTCCAGGGTGATAGGTTGCCTCATCCTAACCCCACCCCATGCCCAATGAAATTTTGCCTAATGTATAATCCCTCAGGAAAAAGGTATGAATATTTGTTTATTGAACAACCATGATTCTGTGGTTTCACTTCCATAAAAATGATGTCATTGAGTGACTTATTTTTTTTTTTTTGGAAGTCATTAGAGGAGAGAGGAGACACAGAGTGATCACTCAGGTGGTGATTCAATTTCAGAGAGATTTACCAATCTCACTGTCAGAAAAAAGTATTTGCAAAATCTCAGCATGTACTAAACCTTATAAATGACATATATCAACAACTCTTTCCAGTGTTTGGAAGCAGTTTTGATGTATGGTAAATAATTAAGGGATGAAACTGAACATGATGCAAAAATAATTTCTGGGAAAATACTTTCAGAAAAAAATACAACACACATTTGTCAAGAAAAAGCTTCTTTGGCGATGCTACATAATATTTTTTTCCCATGATCTCCTAGTAACATATTCATCTTCTATTTTTTTTAGAGATTTATTTAGTTATTGGAAAGTCAGATATACAGAGAGGAGGAGAGACAGAGAGGAAGATCTTCCGTCCGATGATTCACTTCCCAAGTGAGCGCAACGGTCAATGCTATGCAGATCTGAAGCCCGGATCCAGGAACTTCTTCCAGGTCTCCCACACGGGTGCAGGGTCCCAAGGCGTAGGCCATCCTCGACTGCTTTTGCAGGCCACAAGCAGGGAGCTGGATGGGAAGTGGAGCTGCCGTGATTAGAATCAGCGCACATATGGGATCCCGGTGCGGTCAAGGCGAGGACTTTAGCTGCTAGGCCACGCCGCAGGGGCTCAATATTCATCTTTTATTATCACTCGCAAAAGGTGTATACCAACTTGTCAAAGCACTTTGGTCTGAATTGCAAAGAAGCAACTAGGGCAAATTTTTAGGAAAATATGCTAGGTGGCAGCACTGGCGGCAGATATTTGGCAGAACCATTAAGACACCATGTGAGATGCCCACATGCCATAGGAGAGTGCCTGAGTTCAAATCCCATGTCTGCTTAGGATTCCAGCCTCCTCACAGGGCGCAGTCTCGCTGAAAGGCATATTTCCATCCTCATGGAGCTGAGTCCCTGACACCTACTTGAGATACCTGCATTATGATTTGCTCTCAGATTCAGCCACATCACATCCTGCCTGGACACTCGAGGGATTTGGGGAGACAACCCATGGTAGAAAGATCTTTCCCTTCATGTTGGTCAAACAAACAAACAACAAGGAAAAAAAAAATCAAACTGGCTATTTGAAGGGGAATTGAGATAAAACCAGATTCAATCTGAAATATAAGTATTTACTTGTGGGAAACCTTGAACCTTAAGTCTCCAGAGTCAAGTACTTCCATTCAGTGCATACTCACTGGCTGCCTTTCAGTTACTAGAACTTGATGGAAGTATGAGAGTTGGAGACATGAGAGTCACATTTTCTGTTCTCAAGACGTTAACAGCAGAGTCTGTAAAGCTTCCATGCACACAATGTGCTTCACTGATAAAACTGCACATACAGTGTGTGCCTCCTAAAGTCCTTATTTGTACCTAAATTTCTGAACCCACAGAAAACATTGATTCATCTCCTGATTCTGATATGCCACACCAAAGCACCATTTCAGTGCCAAAGCATTAAGGGAAAATGGGCTTGGGGCCAATGGGGGAAGGTTTGGTGGCTCAGCATGTTAAGGGGTTGCCTAGAATACAGGCATCCCAGAGGGGGCTGAATCACTTCTGAGCTGCTCCACTTCCCACCCAGCTCCCTGCCCGTGCCCTGGGAAGGAACAGAACATGGTCCAAGTGTGTGGGCCCCTGGTTACCCCACAGAGGAGTTGAAGACCCAGACCCTGGCTTCACCTGCCTGTTGTGCTCATTTGGGGAGTAAACCCAGTGAACATAAGATCTCTCATGCTTCTTCCTACCACCAACACTTTCTTTCCAATAAATGAATACATTTTTGTAAATATTAAGAAAAAACAGATATGATATAATACCACTTCCAAGAACAGTCATGCCAGCTTCAATGCAGAGCCAATTTCTCTTCTTTCTTTCAGTCATCCAGCATACAGCCACTCAGACACATTTATGTCGGTTCACATTTTCATTTAACAGAGTCCCAAAGCACTTTCCCTCAAACTACTTTCAACTATTTAAAACAACACAATCTCTGAAATTCCTGAAATGAAAATATTACTAGTTGGAGATTTACATAGCAAGACTGTTATTTTTTTCCTTTTCAAATGAGTAGGCACAGCTCAATTTTCTTCTTTGAACTTTATTTTAGGTAGAGCAGGATTTTGAAAACATGACTTAATATAACATTCAATATCAAGAACAGTCACATCAAATACACTGAATGAATTTCCTGCACACATTCCCAAAGTTGACCACATCTTTCACATTCACACTTAGGAACGCTGCTTTGAGGGGTGGCACTCAGTCCTGGGCAGGATTCTTACACACACACTAAACTGTATGCAGAAATCTAGAACAGCAAGTGACTGAAGCTTAACATAAGGCTGCGGATACTAAATACTATGCTCAATCTGAAATTCAGGTTCATTCAGGTAACTACACCCGGGGAAAGTATGAAGTGCTCTCATGAGTAGCAGTATTGATGTGGATGCAAGATTCTAAGCTAAACTATAAAAACAAATCAAGCCTAAAGATCACAAATTTCAAACAAAGTTTCAAATGAAATGTTTTCTAAATTACGTAATCTTGAAAGCCCAGTGCATTTGGCAAACACAATGATGTGATAAAATCACAGTAAGATCTCCAGAGAATGGCACCAACCTTTTACATTGAAGATATCCTGATTATACACTATGTCTGGAATGAAAAATACTGAAAGGGATTAATGAAATGCCAGGTTAGAGCAAAAAGAAAATATCATCAACTTTAAGAACATGACTGAATTCCCTTAATGAAACAGAACATGTGAATCATTCCGTGACAGGAATAAGCTGAGGTATATCCAAGTTGGGGGGTGTGGGGTTGGGTTGTACATGTGAAAGAGCAGCTTAGGTTGAGAAAGAATGATAAGAGGATCTTTCTATTTCTCTGCATGGAGGAGGGAGGGTAACATTTGGCCAATTCCTCCTGAAAAGCAAAATTTAGGGAATTAAAAGCATAAACACAACACAGCAATGGAAGATAGAAGAGAGTAGAGTGGCTATGTGTACCTTGAGCAATAGCAGCCATCCTCAGCTCCACAGGCCAGCATAGTTTCCATGGAGATTAAAAGAGTTAGGCCCCCCAGCCACAAAGAGCTTCATATCTGGCCAGTTGTAGCAGTGGGTGTACAGGGAAATTGGCACTTGGTTCAAACCTATATTTCGGTATGCCCGGTGGGTATCCTGGTTGATCCAGCCCCTGCAACAGGTGAGCTTGAGTATTTTCGTCCCAAACACTGCAGAAGAGTCCTGGCCGACCTCACATCTCTCCACTAGGAACTTCTGGACACGGACGTCATTAAAGAGCAGGGAGCCATGCACTGTTCCCAACGTAATAATGTCCTGGTTGTAGCTCAATGAGCACACACTGGTGGCGAGATCCCTACAGTGCAGGGGCTTTAAGTAGTGCAGGGGCTTTAAGTTGTGCAGGGGCTGGCGTGGATCCAGAAAATAAAGATAGCTACTAGAAGCCACAACATACAGGGAGTACTCATCACAGTAGGTCATGCATGCATTTGCTCCAAAGAACGGCAGTCTGAAGGAGAACAGACTGGACAGGTTGGTCTGAGGTTTCCACAGGCGGAAGTAGCCATCCAAGGAAACTGATCCCAGCTCCTGGTTCTTGCTGCTGAAGGCCAGGGCACTCACAGGGTGGTAACTAAGAAGAAGGTTGTCTGAGGAGACATCTACCACATCTGCTGGATGCATGTGGCCATACATAGGAATACCACTGCTACTGTGCGAATCAATGGTATCGTAGAAAAATTCAGTGTCCAACTGCCACAAGGCCAGGGTGCCATCATGGGAGCCGCTCACCACCACATTGTCACTCACCCAGGCAATGGCATAGATCCCATCCTTGTGGCCTTGGATGTCACCCAGGCACACAGGGTCCATGGTCGGCAGCTGGTACACGGCCAGGCTACTGGGGTTCTTGCCCCTTGTGGCCAGAAGTGTCTTGGAGGGATTCAGCTCAATGGCTTGGATGCCACAGCCAGGCAAGCCAAAGGCTGCTGGCTCTCTGTCCACCATCAGGGGGCAGTGTGTGATCTGGCCCAAGTACACATCCAGCCTGAAGAGCTTGTTGCACATGGTGCCACACACAACCTCCCTGCTATTCAGCCATTGTGAGGCTAACACTTTGTCCAGGGTACCCAGGTCCAGCTGGTGCTCCCTCAACACGTGGGGCAGACTCCGCGCTGCGAGGCTGTTCAGCTGGCTTTCAAAACCCCTTTGTGCCAGCTGTCCCTGTGCACCCACCTGGCGGTCCTGCAGGTAGTGCACCAGGGAGCGACCTGTTGCTGGGCCCCTTTCTGGCAGTCCCTTTCTGGTCTCCATAGACAAGTCCTTTTCAAAAGAGCTAGTGGCAGCAGTTTCAGTCTCAGAGCTTTCAGATTGCAGCTACCAGTTTGCTACTAGACCGTGGTCAGCAGCAAGCAAGAGGAGCAGCAAATTCCTGGGAGACAGCGCTGTCGTTGCCCTGGGTGGTGTGGCAAAGGAGATGTCTACACTGAGTCTATGGCTGTTCTGTTTTGCTCAGGGTAGTTTGGGCCGTGTGGCTGCTCTGCCTTAGCCTGGTGTGCAGGTTTTCAAGAGCCTGGAAGCTGAATGAACTTTAGGGACTGTTGGTTGAGATTCTAAGATGGCAGTGGTGTCCTGAGAAGCTGCTCCACCCTGTGCCTCAGTCTCTGCTGGAGGTAGCAGAGCCCTGTGCTGGAGGCGGCAAGGCTGAAGAGGTGTGATTTGGCGCAAGCAGAAAATGCCTGAAATCACAGCCAATGGAAAAGTGGCTGTGGGAGCTGGATGGGAGGACCCCACAGCGTGATGGCTATGGAGGGGCTCTGGTGCTATGGGTTGGGACAGTTGGACAGGCTGGCAGAGCGTGCTCCCATGCGGTGCAGTGTAGCATAAGCAGGTCTCAAGAGTAGGGTGTTGAACGGAGCCTCAAGAGTTGGTTTCCAGACAGCAGGAGTACAGTGGCCCTAAAATGAAATAAAAGTGGTTAGTGGGTCTGCATATGTTTTGCCATGCTTGGGAGACTCCTCCCCACTCAGCCCTTTTCACCAGAACCACAGACAGTCTTATCTTAACTTTCTTCCTGTAACTTTTTTTTTTGATAGTCAGGGAGACAGAGCCATATACGCAGGTTCACTGCTCAAATGGCTGGAGGCCTTAGGGAGGTAGGATCCTGCTAAGACAGCTGGGTCTCCCACAGATGTGTTCCCTTGCAATTTGGGAAGCATTGGAACAGCTGCAAAGAGGAGCATTGCTTACATGGCTTTCTGGTGTTGCAAGCAGAGTATTAATGTGCTGTTCCACAATGCCTGGACCCTGGCTTTGCCTCTCTCTGTATCTTAAGGAGCTTACAACCGATAGTGGAGGTCTCTGAGCTCCTGTGCCAGAACCCGCAGAAGGCTGCATTCCACATGCAGAGCCTGGTCCCAAGTCCTGCCTACGGTGGAGTCCACGACGCCTTCATTGGCTGCAGCTCTGAGAACCTGGTTGGCTGCAATGATGGACAGAAATGAGGGGAAAGAAAGCAGGGTTTCCTTGACTGCTCTGCCTGTCCTTAGCTCCCAGAGCCTAGGGGAAGTGGAGTAGAGCAATCCAGGGTGGGGAGTACCTCCCTCCAAGGCATGGGTAGCAGACTTTCATCCCCAAATATGTGTGTGCCAGGGGACCAAATCTTGCCCCACAGAAAATATGTTCACAGAAGCCATAAGGGACTTTCCAGAAGGAGACAAGCACATAAACACAGTGGTGAGAATGTAGAGTTTCAGAGAACGGGCTTAGACTCTGGCATGGTTGAAAATTCATCTTCCATGTTCAGCCTGGACCCAGCATGCTCTCCCAGCCAAGCTCTAGGAATTTCGTTACAGAGTGATACACAGAGACTCCAGCCCAACTCTGAGAGTGGCCAGCTGCTACCAACGCCACACACATTCCCAGTCTATTGTACAAAAACATGTTTGCTTGTTGAGTGGGTGGGGGGAGGAGAGCAAATTTACTTGTTTCCTGTGTCACAGAGGAGGCCACCTCAGTGTTATAGTTGCTCATCTCTACCTTTGGCTCCCTCCACAACTCCCACGCAGCTTTTTTTTTTTTTTTGCAAGCTTCATCTAGAACAGGGTTTCCATGCACAAGTCATGGTTTCTTCCTTCTCCCTCTACACCCCATGTTAACCACCTGTATTCCAGGGGAGCCCAGGCATTGCAGCATTTCATTTTTAACTTCTGTATGCTTGTACAAAATGTAGACTCATAGAGAGGAGACCGACACATCTGGCATCTGATAGTTCACTATGCAAATTCTTAAAACACCTGAATTTGTAGAACACAAGCCAGGAAAACAAGATCCCTTCCAAGTGTCTTACGCTGGTATAGGAGTTCAATAACTTGGGCCATAATCTACTATATGCTAAGACCATAAGCAGGGAGCTGAATCAGAAGGGGAGCAGCAGCGACAGAAATCAACTAACAGATGCAATGTTGACTCTTGAAGGCAGAGGATTAGACCATTGAGCCAATTAGCTTTTCTCCATCTTTCACTTTACCTTTGTGTGTGTGTGTTTAAGGAAAGGAATGCATTTATTAATCAAGCCATTCCTGTGCCATATGTTGATATCTGCAATTTTGGGGAAAGATTCCTCTAAACATCATTGTAGCATTAATGATGAACAACCCTACTATTTCTAGTTTAGAATGATTTTACCAAAACAACAACAAATGCCTCACACTCTGCTCCATTCCATCCCACGCAGCTCTTGTACGGACAGTTGCCTAGTCTCTGCAGCCTTGAACTCACCCAACTGGCTAAACAGATTAACATGTGAGCCTTCAAGTACAGAGCCAAGGAAACAGAGATTTGCTTTAACACATGCTGAATGGCCTGCTGAAAATTATTTCTGATCACTCGGCAGTGCTGACCCACAAATATCTAGCGTTACCCACAAATATCTATTGTAAACTTGGTCAAAGAAAGGCTAAGGTGTTGGTAGGAGGTCCCCAAGATGTCATCTGGCTGGGACTCAGGAAGGAGCTCCCTCACTGCTGGGTCCTTTTCTTCACTGAAAATGGTCTTTTCTTCATATGTTGTGTTAGGGCATCCCTGTTACTACAAGGAAGTACCTGAGGCAGAGCACTTTATAATGAATAGAGGATTGCTTACCTCCCAGTTCAGGATGTTCAGACGTATGCCTCTGGAATTGACTCAGCACTGGGGAAGGTCCCCTAGACAATATCATGAGGTGGAGGGTGACATCGGGTATGCTCAAAAGGTCATCTTCCGTGTTCAGCCTTGACCAGGCAGGCTCTCCCTGCCATCCACTGGGAATTTCCTTACAGAGTGTTTTATGGAACCCAGAGCCTGCTGCTGAGAGTGGTCAGCTGCTCTCAATGCTGCAATCTCTCCCAGTATTTGACACAAAACTTGTTGATTATTGAGTTAATGAGGACAGGAGAGTGATTTTACTACATTAAATCCTGAATTTGTCTCTTTGCTTTAAGTTTTTGTAGACACAGGTTAAATGGTAGAATTATTTTAAAATTTCTGATGATTCTCCAAACTGAGCTCCTTAATGGTTATGCGAGTTTATATTTTCATGGGCACTGGATGAGGGCTCTTTCTCACATACATTGAATCAATTGAAATTCTGAGCGAAGAGTGTTATATAAAATAATGGACTTTTTTTTTAAATATCAAAGAATTTCCTAATCTTGGCTACTCAGTGAAATAAAATGAGGTCAGTATTGTGGGGAAGGTGTCTGGTGAATGTACTTTAGCAAATGGGAAGTCAATGAGGAAGCTTGAGCACTCCTGAGGCATGTTATTTTAATTCCTACTGAATGGGCGCCTTGAGATATTTTCTGCTAACTTCCAGCTGTGAACTCACAAATACTGTGCAATTGAATTGTGTATAGTGCAAGGGCACTGTGTTTGCAGGTGTTTCCCATGAATGTTCAGTCCAGTGTTGGGCAGTTAGCCTCTTAATACTGCTAGGTACATTTTGCACAGCAAATGTTGTTCATTTCCTATGCTGTTTTAAACCACACTTGTTACGCCAAGGAAATACCTGAGGAAGGGTATTTCATAAGGAAAATAAGTTTGTCTAACTGTCAATTGTGGATCTAATGGCATGAATCTGTGAAGGGTTGCAGTCCGATGAGGCCTGGCACCCACTTGTCAGGTTAATTGACAGTGCCCCCCTGCCCTTCCTACCTCCTCTCCTGCCATTCAAGTTAAATGATTGCAAGAAACTGGTTCTGGAGTCTTCTCAGGTGCTCCCAGTCCCTCCCACCTCTGGTGCCATTCAACTTAATTGACAGAGAGGAAATGACTCCAGAAGCTCTGCACACCTGGCCTTCCTGCTTCCTATTGTGCTAGGTTAGTTTAATTAACCACAGGAAAACTTTGGGCTTTGGCAGCTCCCTTCTTGCCTCTTGGAATTAGTTACTTGAATTTGTGGCAGCTTTGTTCTGGATGGCTTTCAATCAGCTTGGAGGATGAGTGCTTAAAACCCCTCATTCTGCCACTGGGTGCAGTAGCTGCTGGAGTGCAGTAGGAGGCACTGTCTGCCAGGTTTGGGCAATGAATACTCCTCCTAACATCCTGCACTTGTGTCCAGTGTGATTTCTCTCACACTGCACAACTACTCTAGAATTGGATCAGTTGTAGAGACAGATGCCTTGTCTATGCCACGTGTGGGAGGTTACAAGGTGGCAAATTGTTATACAGGGAGAGATCACATTAATAGGAAGTTAGAGAGAAACTGTGGCCCCAGCTGTACTCCACAGGTCTCTTCAATAGGTGATTGTATCCATGGTGATGGTGATTTACAGTGCTGAATAATGTGGACTGACCTGAAGATATTCCAGAACCTGGAATTAGGAATTGGAGCTAGAGTTGGGTTGGCAGCTCTGATGTGGAATGTGGACATCTGAAATGGTGCCTTAACCACTGTGCCAAACACAGCCCTGCATTCTATGAATTCCTGAAGACTCTTCATGTTATTAATTTTTGTATCAGCCTCTACAATACATACTGATATGTATTGGAACCTCATTAGCATTAGTTCTGCTCCTCTCAGTAACTCAAGTTTCTTATGACGTACATGAACTGTTGGCATATGGTATTAGCATAGCAATATATGTGTTTATGGAAATGACTGAAAATCCACCAAGCAAGCATGAGCAATATTTGATATGTGAGTATACAGGATATTGCTACTGAATCTAAAATTCTTCTCTAAATTTTGTTGTTTATTTACTTGACAGGAAGAGAAAAAAAGAGGAAGAGACCTAGAGACTGAAATATAGATGTCTTTCACCTGCTAGTTAAAT